AAACATTCGGACGCGACGCCGCGACCCGGCGTCGCCGTCGGCGTCGCCGTCGCCAACACGCCAGCGCCGGTGTCGATTTCCACCGGCGAATCTTAGTCTGCGACGTTTTACAGCTCGGAATTCCGAGGGAAAACGCGCGCGCGCGACTCGAATCCTGTGTGACATTTCAGCTGGAAATAAATGGGAATCTTAAGTGTCGGATCGGCACGGGCGCTCTCGCGCTCGAGCTATCGGTATTCTAATTACTCGCAGCGCGAAAATAGCGAGGAACTTGGGGCGCGTAATTACACCCGAGCACGTCGCCTTATTAAGCTATCTCATTTTCTTCGGCGAGCAGCAGGCCGGTCGATGGCTTTGCGTTGGTCGTACTTCATCCTCGAGTTTTATCCGATAAAGAACGCCGCGATCTACGCGAGGCACCCTGCGTCTGCAATCGCAACCGAGCGACGGAGGGGGACTGAAGGGGCAAGGGTGAAGGGGAGAGACGGAAAGCTCGATGGTCAACGTCGACAATTACCGCACGGGAGCGAAAGAAGAGAAAGGGGGCGGTGGAGGGAGAGAGGGAGAGAGGGGGTGGGGGGCAGGAAGAGAGGGAAGAAAAGAATCGCTCGTTCCGGGTTTATTCAACTTCCGGAGGATCTGACCGAGCATAAACTCGAAACTTTGTTCGTCCCCGGTATATATTGCGCCTCTAGCTACAAGTCGGAAGGGACCGCGCGCGCGCGCGCGCGAATTCAAAGTTTGGCTGGCGTAACAACGTTAATAACAATGCGCTCGTATTTCTTCCCTCGTTCAGTCAGTCGCGGAGACCGCCATTGATCCGAATTAATTGGCGAGGACGTCGCCCTCCGAGGAGAGAGCGCGCACGGTTATCTCCCTCTGAGAAATTAGATCGCTCCGACAATCCGTCGTCATAATTAACGTTTATCGAGTGCACGGGGCGACGTGTAATAGCCGAACGGAAGAAACATAATTGATGCAGCTGCAGAAACGCTCGGGGCCGAGCGCGAGAGCCGAGTAATTCCGTGTTCCACCGACTTGGAGGGTCGCGAGAGAAGTTCGGTGCGGGCGTTAAATTATTTTCGTGTCGTGATAAGAGAAATTGCGCGCGCTCGCTCGTGTATATGCGCACGCGCGCCGCCCATGTACGAGAGAAATTAAAAACAAAAAAGCGCTCTCCTTTATTCCTCTCTCGCTCCCCCCCCTCCCCATCTTCCGTGCTGCACGGGGATCTCGAGTCTCGAGGACCAAGTCCCGCGTGTGTGTGAGAGTAATTTTCGCCTACGATCCAGACGGCGGTGTGTGTTTCACGCGACGACACATTCACGCACCGATGCTATCGCCAACAACTCTCGCGGGGCGAGAGAGAGAGAGAGAGAGAGAGAGAGAGAGAGAGAGAGAGAGAGAGAGAGAGAGAGAGAGAAAGAGGGAGAAAGAGCTCGTCACACACGAGACATTCCCGCGGAACCCGCCGCAAACGGTCGTCGGCGTTCGCTCACACTTAGCAACTTTTCCGCACGGGGGGGGGGGGAGGGGGGCCCGACTCCGTATCTAAATCACTTCCCGCTAACGATAATCTCGGTCTTAGAGAGCATAAGCTCAATCGTGCCGCGCTAATTCCCACTCGAAACTCTCCAGACTGCAATAGTCGTAACATTCGCATGAGAGCCCGCGTATGAGAACGTGCCAAGGAACCTCACCATTTTGAGGGCTCGTTCCCAGTCCCCCGCCGTCCTCCTCAACGCTCAGTACCGCCGAGCGCGCAGCTTAAGAGTACGTAGCTTTTAATCGTCAACTTACGTAACGCGAACGCGAACGCGAACGCGAAGGCAGACGCCATGTTAAGGTCGTGTACGAGATCCGCGGAACTCGAGTCCTAATGCGGCGGATCCGCCCGTTACATTCTTCGGCCGTTGCACCGTTGCGGCTAATTAGCGCGCGGTCTAATGCAGAGCCGACAAGGCGATTTCGGCCCGGTGTATTCCCGTTTAATTCTAACGACCGGGTCTTCGCTAATCTCTCGAAATTAATCACCGCTGATGTAAGCCAGAAACGCCCGCGCGAACCGCGCCCGCGCGCGCGCGCGCGCGCGCGCGGCGTAATTTCCGTCGGCGGGCTCTATTCTCCTCGTTTGTATCCGCCAGTGGGATTTTCAATAGATACAGCCGCGGGGGAGGGGGAGGGGGTACGACGCCGAGACCCGGGAACATTTCGGAATCGTTCTGTGTCGCCGTTATCTTATAAATGGCGTTCCCGTCACTGCCACGCGGGCTGTACTTTGAGAACTCCTCAGACTGAATGGTATTACGCGCGCGCGCGCGCCACTTCTTGGACCGGTCTTGATGTTTCGCGATAATGGCTTCACTTTGCTCTGTTAATGATCGTCCGGGACGTCCAAAGTTTTGTAATGTTAATCAAATGCGCGATTAAGTTTCTCTCGCAGCTGCATGTATTTTGGATTGCAAACCCCGGGCAAACCCGAGCGTTCTTTCGACGAGAGAGAGAGAGAGAGAGAGAGAGAGAGAGAGAGAGAGAGAGAGGGGGGTCCATCCGACTATAATTCCCTCGTTAGGTGATTATAATCACAGATTGCAAACACTTTTCTCTCTTTCCGCGCGCGGAAGTTTCTGGAGCGGGTCGCGCGCGCGCGCGTTCGAGCCGGCCGCGCTGCGCGTCGCGGCGCCGTGTCGAAATGCGATCAATTATATGAATAAACACCGTTACGGTGTTCCTCGTTGGCGCCGCTGGCGCGTGCAGCACCGTGCGCGCCAGATGTAGACGCTGCGGAAGCTAACGCGGAGAAAGCTAACATTTTTATCCTTCGTAACTTTGCGGAAAACAACTTTCCCCGGAGCGTCGTGGCCTGAAGTATCGGCAGAAACAATAAGAGCGCGCTCGCGCGCGCGGGGGAGCGATATATTCGTACGTGACCGCCGTGAAAAGGAGAGCGCCGCGCGCGCGCGCGCGCGCGGGCTTTCCCTCAGACGTATAATAACGCAATTACCGGCGGATTCGAGATTAAGCGGGGAAAGAGTTACGGAAAAGGAGCCGGGCATTCGGCGGCGCGCGGCGCGTATACATGAGCTGACGGAAACGGGATTAAGCGGATGGAATTCGAGAAACGGAATCCAGGGTAATTCTCGCTTAATCCTCGGACATAGCCCTTGTGACGAGCCATTCGTTACGCTCCGCAGCGACGACGAGTATTTTCGTCGTGGTATCGCCCGCCCGCGCGCGCGGATAATCCCATTTCCGATATTGCTTCCATCTTTAATGCACTCGCAACCCATCCATCTCGAGACACATTATACTCCGATCGCCGCCGCCCATCGAATCGCGATCGTCGATCGCAATTTGGGAAACTTGCCGGACGCGAGACCGGGCCCCGCCCACCCTCGCTGCCCCTGCCCCTGCCGCTGCCGCTGCTGCTGCTGCTGCTGCTGTCGCCCAAACTACCTGGATTTTACAGCCGCGCTCCATATTAAATTTATTGTCGCGCTGTGTCCGCGTGACGCTACTTTCCTCGTCGCGACGCCGTCATTTCGCAAATTGGAACACAAGCGAGACGCAAACACGGACGTTGGCTCTGCGGCGCGTTCTTTCCCTCTCGAGCGAACGTGAGACCCCGGAAATATCTATGAATTCTACTCAATAATATCAACGACTGCAACACACTTAAATCGAAATTTGCACATTCCAACGTTAATTGTTGCTTCTACAAAAAAAAAAATCCACCTAGCCTTGCATCCGACCTCGCCGAGAGCGGCAAAACTTCCGCCGATTGATGCACTCGCGACGAAACAACGTTCGCCCGTATCGCGTATCTGCTAACGCGCAATTATTTTGCAGGTATCACGCGAGGCAGCGGAAAGCAACTGGAAGACGCGAAACGTCGCACGGCCATTGGGGACTCATCTTCGGTCATAAAAGGGGTCTGCTGGATAAACCGTGAAAGTGCCAATATCTCACGAATAGAAGTACGTCGTCTATACAGCGGCGCTGCTATACGGAAACGGATGGGCTGGCGTGCGTCGAACGGTAAAATCGAAGCAAAATTGACGGCGCCACGAACGAGCGCACCCGGAAGAACATGAGGCCGTCGTGTGGGAGCTTGTTCCGTGCGCTCGGTCGAGGAAAATTAATTTCCCTTCCGGTCGTCGGGTTGCGACGAAATGACTGACCCGAGCTACCGGGATTAATCGTAGTCCCGTGAGAGAGAGAGAGAGAGAGAGAGAGAGAGAGAGAGTGAGAGAGAAAGAGGGTGGAGAGAGAAGGAGAGAGAGAAGGAGAGAGAGAGAGAGAGAGAGAGAGAGAGAGAGAGAGAGAGAGAGAGAGAGAGAGAGAGAGAGAGAGAGAGAGCGGGCGGATCTGCCGCTAGTCTCTCGATCAGCGAACAACAAGCGCACCCTCCTCGACCGATGAACGGGAGCGAAAGGTACGCGAACAGAAGACAAGCCGCATCGGGTGAAGCTTCCTCCGTGCCGAGTGAGGGAGGAATAAAGACGAGGGCGGGCGGCAGATAGTACTACAGACTACCATGTACTTGTGAGCTCACCGCACGGCAATTTTCTCGAAATGTCGCTCGAAAGATCGAGCCGTCCGTAGAGCGGCTCGGCTGCGCCGCAAATTCCAGCACGCGCGCGCGCGCGCGCGTGAAGAAATTTACGGCGGCGAGAGAGAGAGAGAGAGAGAGAGAGAGAGAGAGAGAGAGCCGGGCCGACAGTAAGTCGCGGCTGTCACCCGGAAAGCAGTAATACCGGAGGGCGCGCAGCAGCCCGCCTAACGTCCCTGTGTGCGACCCTCTCTATCCGGTCAGCGAGTCTCGTCACTCTTCGTCTCTCCCGGACTCTCATTCGAGCTCGCCTCGCCTCGCCTCGCCTCGCCGTTCCACGTCGCGGGCATAAAAGTATAACGACTTGGGACGCGTTACGTTCGCGGCTTACGGGGTGAGGACGCGCGGAGAGAGAGAGAGAGAGGGGGAGAGAGAGAGAGAGAGAGAGAGAGAGAGAGAGAGAGAGAGGGAGAGAGAGAGAGAGAGAGAGCCGCGATAGCACGGAATTGTCCGGTATAATCTCGTAAAACCCGCGGAGGGGAGTGAGAGTCCATCCGCGGGCGAGCGGCCAGGCGTCGTTACGAATCGGGCAAACTGCGGCGGCTAGCTCCGTGCCGTTCCGCCCCCTCCTCCCCAAACAGGTGAAACGATTGCGGGAGATTATCAAAGCGCCGCCGTCGCTTTGGGAGAAGCGACGTGTTTAACGAGTCCAAGTGGGAGCCCGTGCTGAGATGTTGAATCGTGCCCGCGAGAGAGATCCGTTCGGCCAGTCCGGCTAGATCGGATGATAAGTTATACTTCGCCGTGCAACTCTCTCTCTCCGGATCCGGAACGTACTCAACGCGCGAGTGATAAAACGCAGTGCGGCGAACCGTGAGGAGGGTCCGGCGTTACCGCGGCGGGTCTCGCAGCCGCGAGGGAATTCAATCGCGAAATGGACCGCGCGATATTTGAATACTCGCGCAGCTTGCCGCGGAGAAGTTCTCGGTGAATCTCGCTCGCCCCTTCTGCCCCCCCCCCCCGCCCCTGGCCACCACCGAGTGCGTACCGCGCGCGCGATCGGACCGAGGCCACTTTCGAAGGCACGCTTCTCCGAAACACTTCGTGCTCACGGTCGTCCGGATGTCCGTCCGGACACTGCACTCCTCGAGGTACGGTCCGAGTGTTTCGGGATCTCTCGCACGCGGTCGTTTCGCGCGAGTTTACGGGCGTAATTAATTTCGAGAACGCTGTGCGACGCAGAGAGAAGAGGTGCACGTCCAGATGGATCACGTGCACGTCAAGTCGAGATCGGCCTCGAAGAGCAACCCGACGAAGATGGCCTGCGAGAAGGCGTCGAGACGCCTCAGGACGATCCTCGTGAGGGCGTCCCGTCTCGGTGTCTCGACGGCGGACGTCGCCAGGCTACCGGCGGCCAAAAAGCTTATTCCGCAAAGGGATCACGGCTGGAAATTGGCTGTATTTCTTCTCCTCATGTTCGGGGGCGGAGTGATCGTCGCCTTGGTCTGCAACGCCAGGAAAGGGTGCTCCAAACTGGAGGATATCGTAAGTAGAACTCTCTCTCTCTTGTGTCCTCGTATACTTTGCGATCGCGCGGGATTGCGCGGCGGGGTGGGGTTGGGGGGGGAGGGAGGGCGCCTCCTGCCTCGGCCTATTTTCTTCCTCGACTCTGACCGCTCCGCCAGCGGGTCGTTGCGATGAAACAAAGTGCGGAAAACACGGCCCGACACGGCGAGGGTGATATTTTTCCGTCGACAGCAATCCTCCGCGAGCAGCTCCCCCACGCGGAAGAGTAATTTTATCAACGCCTCCGCGACTCGGTGCAATTTACCGTATCGCGCATTGCCGGTCGACGGAAAGTCAAACACACCGTCTCGCGTCTCCCCGCAAAATTCGCCTCTGACAGGCGCGTATACGTGACTTTCTGAAGAACTTCATAAAGCTGAGGTGTATGTGAGGTGTACGTCGTACGCAGCATGCGGCTGACTTGAGTAAAAGTCACACGTCGTACACATTCTCCAATGAAAGGGACGAGGGTGAAGTTTCGCGCGTACACCGAGAAACTATTTCCGTCAGGAAGAATTTGATGTCACGCTCCGGTCCGACAGGAAATGTCAGATCTTCCCTCGGAAAATGTATTTCGCCAAAATTCGCCTAAATTCCACCCACCTGTAGAATAAATCCCTCTTTGCCAGAAATATACTCTCCTCCGCTCCTTCGCACCTCACCCGCCCTTCTGATTTTATTAAAAAAGAGAGAGAGAGAGAGAGAGAGAGAGAGAGAGAGAAGTAGTACACGGGTACCGAAAAATAATAACGGAAAATTTCCATAATTCATGCACATATTTCACTTCATTTCCAAGTGCGAAAAAAACACCCTGCGCGCGTGCGCGTACGCGATATACCCAGTTATTTAAATATTTATCGCCGTTATGTCGTGTCATGACGGCCGACGGCGCAAAACAATCTCGAAAAGCTCACGTTTTCGCCAAGCTCTTTCCTCCGTAAATCTCACTTTGCGCGACGTACCATCGCGCAGGTATCATCCGACCGAAAGATTTACAACAAATAACACACACACGTGCGAACGAACTTCCGAAGAAGACACACCGCGGACACTGGCGAAAAACGAAGAGCCCAGCGTCGTCGCGCGGGTCGTAACGCAGCTAGCGAGCCTCGCTGTGCAGCTCACTCTCGCGCTTCGGAAATTAATTATCATAGCGAGAGCGCAATCAGCAATAAATTCGCTCCGCCGCTGCCCTCACCACCAACCCCCCGGCGCATCCCCTTTGTCACTCATCCAAGATTGCCGACCGCAGGCCGTTTCTCCGGGCGCACCGCAACCGATTCCTCGCATACCTCGCTCAATCTCGCGAAACAAACCCCCGCAGTGTGCGAACCACGCGTTATGCACGCGCGGGAGCCATCAGTTCTAGCCTGCGTTCGACGGAGGGTGAGACGACAGACGGAGACAGACGGAGAAAGAGAGAGAGAGAGAGAGAGAGAGAGAGAGAGAGAGAGAGAGAGAGAGAGAGAGAGAGAGAGAGAGAGAGAGCGAGATGGCGGCAAGGCGGCGGAATCGTGTTAACGATGTTTCGCGCACGGGGAGGATGGTCAGGTGCGCGCTGAAATTACAGATCAAGGGGTTTCTAAACAATTACGCTGTCGGCGGGAGGTCAAGCCTGGAGTAGCGTGACGTTAGAGGGTACGGCTCGCAGGAACCGAGGCTTGCGGCCTGCGGCTGGTTGCGGACAAGGGTCGAGGCTAACAGGAAGTGCTCTCTCACTGCCGGCCCAATGGGCGGTGGGTTACAACGTCGGCCGGCCGCGGTAGAGGAGCACTCCTCTTCTCTGATATTCCCTCGGGAACGGCGCGCCGTGCTCCATTGTGCCCCGGGCAAAGCGGCGCGGGTATGGACGTGCATAGGATTGGCGGGTACTCGGCCCGCACCCTCTGCCATTACATCGAACGCAGCAACCGCAACGCGGAAAGTTCGCCTTTGAATCACTGCCGGGATTGACAGCGATTTTAACTGACGTGGCCGAGCCGCGATTATCGCCCGTCGGCTGATTGGCGGTCAGAAACATCCCCCGGGCTCTCTCTCTCTCTCTCTCTCTCGCGGGACGAACGTCGCCTTACGCCCGACGAGAGACATACACAGACAGAGAGAGAGAGAGAGAGAGAGAGAGAGAGGGGGGAGGGAGGAAGAAGAGGGTAGGCAAAGAGAGCGAGAGATAGAAGGGCCGGGGGAGGGGGGAGGGGGGGGAGTGTCGGGGAAAAGGGTGCTCACGCGGCCCCTTGAGTGTTGCCTGGTGGATATTAAGCGAGACGCTCTCGAGGGTCGTCACTGGTGAGTCCGCTGTAAAATCATGGATTCTCTTTGATCCCGTCGACGGTGGTCAATTGCTTGCGTGTTGCTTATGCAATGCTCGCTAAAGCGAATCGTTTGAACCCTACGAGGTAGCGTTGTGCCGAGCGTGGGACGATTGTACATAATGCATCCGACGCCGCGACGTCAGAACGCAGCGACGCGGCGGCGGCGGCGGCGGCGGCGGCGCACATTTGATCCGCGCTCTTCATCATTTTGCCGCTCGCCCGTATTTTCCCGGCGCCCTCCGGCGCGCTCCCCGCCGAGAGCAGTCATTCGCTCGCCGGACTGCACGGACGCGAAAGAGAGAGAGCGAGAGAAAGAGAGAGAGAGAGAGAGAGAGAGAGAGAGAGAGAGAGAGAGAGAGAGAGAGAGAGAGAGAGAGAGAGAGAGAGAGAACGCGACTCTGCGCGCAGAGAGACGTGAAGGAGCGAAGTGTGTTTTCTCCTCGTCGCTGCATTCTCCGAGTTGCCGCGAACAGCCGACTCTTTTCTGCTCAACAGGCTCGTGGCGGAGAATATTTCGCGGTAAAGAGGGAAAAGCGAGAGATGAAGAGTGCGGAAGAGAGAGAGAGAGAGAGAGAGAGAGAGAGAGAGAGGGGAGGGGAGAGAGTGAGAGAGAGTGTGTGTTGATTATATCGTTCCTTCGACTCGCAGGGATCGCTTTATCGGCGTGACAGTGTTGGCGTCATTCTTCGGTGTTGCTTTATTGGTCTAGCCCGCCGCCGCACGCAGGTTGTGTTGTACGGACGATGGATCAGGGCGGAGAACACGGATTCTCTTTGATGTCGCCCGTGGTTGGTAGTTGCTCGCGCCATTGCTTATGTAAAGCTTGTTAACACCGACTCGCCTAACCAGTAGCGGGTGCCGTCGATTACACGGGAACAAGTACGGGAGGACGGAAGCTAAAGGGAATACTTCGCGCCGCGCCGCGGCGCGGCAATCGCGTAATGAGGTTTGCGCAATTAGAAAAAGATGAGCGCGCTCCTTCCGGCGGAAGTCTCGAGGCCGCGGGGCGCCGGGGATGCGTCGAGTCGACGCGACGGCTCTCGTCCGTCGCTTATTCCGGCCGCTTAGCCCGACGAATCCGCCGGGCGCGTTTTTCGCGCAATTTTTCGACGGATCGATACGCCGCGGCGTTCTCGCCATTCGGGCGGCCCGTCGAACGGCCGCCCGAATTACGTCGCTGAGTTATATCGCGAACGCGGATGGCAGCATCTGCCGTGCGCGCGAGTAAAAATCGGATAATACGGCGAACTTTATGCGGCCGAAAAAAAGGCGAGAGGCGCCGAGTAGTGACGTCGCGCGTCGCCGCTTATCCCAGCCGACGAAGACCGCGACGTGCAAAGTCTACGACAACGCTGTCAAATCCCATTACGTTGCTGCAAATTTCGCCGTCAGCTGCCGCCGCCGCCGCCGCCGCCGCCGCCGCCGCCACCGCCGCTGCTATATCCTATTTATCCCCGGAGAGCGTCAACCCCTACGATTACCTTCTCACGGCGCGTTCCTACCGCGGTCGCGGTGGCGGTCCCTCAAAGCGCGTATCGAACATTCATGAGTCCGACCGAACGCACCCGCTCGGTTATACGCAATATGCGAGCCGGGGTGAGCAGGACGATGCGTCGGGTCGGACCCGTGCATGACGGCCACCTGCGCGACGGAGAGCAGCCGCGTCTGGATAGATACGTTATCGACGAGCACGCGCCCGCGTGCGCGCACGCGCCAACCGGCAATCTCGAATTCCATTTACATCTTTAATGCCGAGGCAACGAAAAAAATCGGCCGGATGGGAATACCTCGCTTCCCGAATGAGGCCGAGTCTGACAGACCGACGAGACCGGCAGGAATAATATTTACCCAACGGGACGAGATTGACTAGCGCCGCTGAATGCGGAGGCATTTTTGCCAGTGGAATTCGCGAATTCCGTTAGCGCGGAGTAAACGATAGCAGTCACTATAGGATTACGTCGATGGGATACGCAATATTTATCCAATGGAATCAGTCCGGTCGTCAGTTTTCAATGCGGAGGGTTCTTTGGCGGACCGCGAATTTACGGGCGAAACCGATAGCGGGCAAAGCCGCGCGCCGAGCGCGTGTATGAGCGGAGTGTTACTTAAACAGATTGACGTTAATATTTATTTCCGCTCTATTGTGCCGCCCCATGCTCGACGTTCCTGCTCGTCGTTCTGCTTTCAACGCGAGTACAACACCCTTCCTGTCCGTGCGTGCGATATTCGCACCTTGGAATAATAACACCTTGGAATCGCGCCGCGGCGCGAGACGCGTCTTGCTGAGAAACGTACAAAAGTCAGCACAGCATATCTAGTCTGAAAAATTCTCGACTCGACACGTACATGGCATTAGAAACTGTCAAACTATAATTGTATTCGAAAGTGGCATCCCTGCCTATAAAGCCATGTAAACTTTCATTCGATCTGTCGAGTCATTCGAGTAGTAGCACCAGTTGAAAAAGCTTTGTGCCAGATGGGTGCCGCATTTGCTGACAATTGACCAAAAACGCCCTCGAATGCGATATTTCTCAAGCGTGTTTGGCGCATTTTAATCGTTTTAAGCAAAATGAAATGGATTTCAAGCGTCGTTTCATAACTGTTGATGAAACTTGAATCCACCGACTACACACCAGAGCGAAAAGAACCTTCCGGAATGACACTCTAACG